ATAACAGGAGGTACAACTCAAGTACCCAGCCTGGGTGATTGGGGAGGCTGTGCCACTGGATCCCACAAGACACCTACTATATTAGGCCACTCTATCAAGCCTAGGAGACATAGCAGCTCTAACTAATACATAGAAACAAACACAGGGAGGCTGCTAAAATGAGGAAATGAAGAAGCATGGCCCAAATGAAAGAACAGAACAAACTCCAGAAAAGAGAACTAAACAAAATGCAGACAAGCAATCTACTAGATGGAGAGAACAAAACACTGGTTACAAGGACACTCAGTTCATTGAGAATCTCAACGGTATAAATAAGAATCAGTCAGAAATGAAGAATACACTAACTGGAATAAAGAGTAATATAGGGAATCAACAGTAAAGTAGATGAAGCCAAAAATCAAACCAGCAATTTGGAATATAAGGAAGCAAATACCCCTCAGAACAGCAAAAAGAAAAAAAGATTTAAAAAGTGAGGATAGTGTAAGGAGCCTTTGGGACAACTTTAAACATACCAACATTCACATCATGGGGGTGCCAGAAGGAGGAGAAGAGATAGAGCAAAACATTGAAAACCTATTTGAAAAAATAATGACTTAAAACTTCCCAAACTTGGTGAAGGAAATAGACATACAAGTCAAGAAAGCAAAGACAGTTCCAAACAAGATGAACCCAAAGAGGACTATACCAAGACACACCATAATTAAAGAGCAAAAGGTTAAAACAAAGAGAGAACCTATAAGGGAGCTCCCATAAGACTGTAAGCTGATTTCTCAAAAGAAACTTTGCAGGTCAGAAGGGACTGGCAAGAAATATTCAAAGTGATGAAAAACAAGGATCTACAACCAAGATTACTCTACCCTGCAAAGCTATCATTTAGAATCCAAAAGCAGATAAAGAGCTCCCCAGAGAAGAAAAAGCTAAAGAAGTTCATCATCACTAAACCAGCATTATATGAAACTAGAGGCCCGATGCACGAAAATTCATGCAAGAGTAGGCCTTCCTTCCCTCAGCTGCTGGCACCAGCTTCTTTCTCTAGCCGCTGGCAGGCACTCAGGACCCGAGCTAATTTCCCTCGGGCCACCCGCAGGCATCCGGGACCTGGCTGGCTTCCCTCCAGCCCCGGCTTCATCAGGAATGATGTCCGGAATGACGCCCAAAAGACGTCCAGTCTAATTAGCTTATTACCCTTTTATTATTATAGATGTTAAAGGGTCTTTTTTAAGAAGAAGATAAAAAATACAACAATAAAATGGCAATAAATACATATTATCAACAAGTGAACCTAAAAACAAAATAAACAAGCAAAACAGAAACAGACTCACAGATACAGAGAACATTTTGACGGTTGCCAGATGAGATTGGCAAAAAAAGGTGAAAGGATTAAGAAGTAAAAATTGGTTGTTACAGAATAGTCATGGGAATGTAAAGTACAGCATAGGGAATATAGTCAATAATATTCGAATACTATAGTATATGGTGTCAGGTGCAAGATTTATTGGGATGGTCACTTAAGTTATGTAATGCCTAATCAGTGGGATATACACCTGAAACTAATGTAATAATGTATGGCAACTGTAATTGAAAAAAAAATGATTTAAAAGACTTTGTACCACCGGCATTTTGGGGGGCTTGGTATTTCACAGTGAGATTTCATATCTAGGTTGATGAAATCAAGTCTAAAAGCTAACAGAGAAGTCAGCTTCCTAGATATATCTTACCTACCAGTAAACCATGCACCATCAGTTGAATTTGCCATATATGGATGGAGAAGAAAGTTAGAACCAAGAACTTATAAGAATCAGAGAGTGCATCCCAAATAATACACACGTACACATCTTTTTAGTAGGAAAATATTTCAGCCTGAGAGTCCCAGGCGTTCTTTTGACTCAAAATAGCATGTAATACTTGTAAATCATACGATGTATCTTATTTATCAGTGACACAGCAGCAAGCGAAACCAGGAAGCAGGAAATCAAATAGAACTACAGGTTGAAACATAAAAGCCTGTGGGAAGCCTGAGCCCTCATGATAAACTTTATGGCATGGCTTCTTGCAGAAGTCATGCTACAGATACAAATCCAGACTTCTTAGCAGAGAGGGTTGTTATGCTTCATAGGCTCCGTAAGAAAGACCCAGATGAGATAAGCTCAGCTGCCTATAATAATTCACATGTAAAGCTTCCTATTATTTCCAAAATTGGGTTTCAGACTGAAATACCCACAGAAAAAGCAATCAGCCCTAATTTTCTAGGCCACTTAAAACATTCCATTTACTCGATAAATAAGGTCTGTGGCCTTTTGGGCAACAAGCACTTTTAGAATCAAAATGAATTATGAAAGTTCCTCTACTTGTTCATAAAGCTCTCTCCAAAAAAAGACTGCTCTCTCTTTATCTGAGGTCCTTCTGTATTATCATTCTAATGGATTTAATCTAATATCAGTGCAACCTATAGATCCACCTGAGGCCCAACTGTGTAGTATATATCATTTGCTACTATACAAAAGAACTCTGCTGATCAGTACCTAGAATCTCGCACTATGAACAGGAAATAAAATTCATTCTGTAATTTGAACCTTCCTGGTTTAGGAAGTAAGGCTAGAGTGTAATACATAATAATAACAAATAACACACAAAAAGAACTAAATAGGCTGAGAAGCTTCATGATAACCAATGAGATAAGTATGCATTTTCCTCATAGCATCCATTTATCTATTTCTTCAGCCAAAATTTGTTGAAGGTTATTTTACATGTTGAATTTAACAGATCATTGTGGAGTCCAGGCCACTGCACTCTTTCTCCTGAATTACTGCAATAACCTGCTGCTAATTAGCTTTTTCTTCAGTCCACCATTGTCTTCTCTTAGCTTTCTCCACTCAACATTCAGTGATCTAATATACAGATCTGACTATGTGAACCCCAGATTAAAACCTTTCAGTGCCTTGGCAATGCACTTAGCATAAAATTCAAATTAGCCCTATGTGATCTGACCTCCTTCCTAACTCCCCAGCCTCCTTTAATGCCACTCTTCCTCTTACTGTCTATACTCTAGCTATACTGGACTTCTCTCATTTCCTTAAACTCACGGTGCTAGTCTAAGTTAGATGTGTCACCTACATGCTCTTACAGTACCCCGTACATAACTCTATTGTAACATTTTCCCACTTTATTGTATTCACTGATTTGTTTGTTTTGCCTCTCTAGAATGTAAGCTCCTCTGATGTCAGACAGACCATACTTTGTCAGCTTTGCACTCCTAGTTTCTCATTAGTGCCTGACTCAATAAATGCTTGTTGAGTGATTGACCGAGTGAAGGAAAATACAGAAGACAGCAGGAGGAAGAGCTAGACTAGGAAAAGATACTGTTTGTTTTTAAGTATATTAAGGTGTTGGTTTAGTAGAGTAGAAATGGGCAAGAAGTTAATAAAGAGATCAGGTCTGCAAATACCGATTTTATCCTATGACAGAACTAGTAAGTGTTCTTAAATGATTTAATGGCTGAAGTGATGAGAATGGGACTTTAAAATGGAATTAAAATGAAATCTAAATTACTCATATGATTTATGAGTAACAGAATAAAAAAATGACAAACTTTATAATTCAAACATTCTTAACATATATAAAATAACTGATTACACTGTCATTTGGAACACTGTTAAACAAATTTGTATTACCTTTATATGATGGGGCCAAAAAAAAGATAATTCTGTGGGCTCCTTATCAAACTCGAGATTAGATCAGAAGAAGTTGATTCTTATCTCATTTAATACACTTAAATTTTCATCATGTAACTAAGAGCTGCCCATTTAAATGCAATGATTTAGATCTGAGAGTGTACGGGTATTATTTTTATTATTATTATGACTTTTGTTAATATTCTATGACTTCTAACAGACAGCTTTCTTAACATAAAAAAAAATATTTAAAACTGAAGCTTGATCTTATGAAGACACCCCACAGCCAGTGCCACCACACACTTTCTTTTTTTCTTTTATGATGGTAAGATTTAAAAGAAAACCTCACCATTAATTTTTTTAAGTATGTATATGTATTATCTATACAATAAATAACTTTAAAAGTAGTGTCAGTGATCAATACAGCCAGAGGTAATTAGGAAAAATGTGTAAAGCTATTCACATTTTTAGGGCTGAGAATTTGTTATACTAAAAGAACAAGTTTTCAAAGTGCACAATACCAAACCCAATTCCTATTTATTCTAATCATACAAAGTTAACTTTAAATCTTGCATTATATGTATTTAGCTGATTTTTAAGTCCAAGAATTAGAAAGCAGTAGTGCCAGGAAAAAATGTTTTTAATGATTTTTAAAATTTTAAATTGGGGTGAAAACACATAACATAAAATGTATCATCTTAACCATTTTTATGTTTACAGTTCAGTAGTGGTAAGAATATTTACACTGTTGTGCAACAGCTCTCCAGAACTTCTTCATCTTGCAAAACTGAAACTCTATACCCATGGTATAGCTCCCCATTTTCCCTCTCCCCTTCTTTCATGTTTCTATGAATCTGACTCCTTTAGATAACTCATATAGTGAAATCATACAGTTGTCTTTTCATGACTGGCTGAATTCACTGAGCATAATGTCTTCAAGGTTCATTCATGGTAACATATGAAAGGCCTTTCTTCCTTTTTAATTCCACTGTATGTAGTACATACCACAATTCATTTATCCATTCATCACTAGACATATGGGTTGCTTCTACCTCTTGGCTATAGTGCTGCTATAAATATGGTATGCAAATATCTCTTCAAGATAAAAATTTTTAATCAATATAACTAATGATAGAACTGGTGAGTATCCCAAACAAAATGTCTGCATTATGTTACTGATAAGCAGTTAGGGGAAAAAAAAGTGTCAAAACACCAAAATATGACAATGGAAAAGAATAAAAGACTAAAACTGAAATTAAGCATACCATGTTTCTATTTATGTATGGACAATGACTATTCATCTTACACAGTAAAATGTAGCCTCCTTACCAGTAATTATTACACCATCATCTTTATGAGTTTCGGCCATCTCTTGAACTTGGACTTCTGAGCTCACATTGACCTCTTTTCCTGATAACTGTAAATGAACTTGAAGAGAAGATGGGACCTTGACAAGAACAGAGCCTGTAATAAGTTTATAAGGAAGCTTATTAATGCAAAGAAATCAAAAGTACTAGAGCCCATTACAAAAATTAATGAATGGGTAGCACTGCTCCTGGCACACTGTCTTCTCCTTACTCATGGAGGTCAGGGGGGTGTCAATGTTTTCTTACTCCCAAGGCATTCACAGTAACTTCTGTCAAAAGTTTGAGTTACTAGAACAGTGTGAACTATTTCTTTTGTCAAAAGCTCTCATCACAGAAAAGTGAGTGGTTTATTACACATGAAGCTTGTAGAAAGGATTTATCATTAATTGAGTATTTACTAAGGTATAATGTTATTATACCTTAATCACATTATTTCTTTAAATCTCCATACCAACATTATGCGGTATTATTATAATCCTTATTTTACAGATGAGAACTTGCTCAAGTTCCCATTAGAGCTAGTGTTAGAATCTAGATCCAGTTCAGTGACAACAAAGCCCATGCTCTTAACCACTGTGGGATTTCACACACTGCTATGCTACCTCATCGTATTACAAAACTTGTGACCGCAATGACCACTGTAACACAACTAGAACCTTGAGGTCTTGTGCCTTCAGTTATACCTTGTAGGGGCCAGTGGGATAACAATAATAAAAAAAGAGAATTCTTAAATTTTAACTGTTTCTTTTCAATGGATTACAGTCTTTGGGTACCTAGGGCAAGACACTCAACTTTATTCCCACTATAATCTTGTAGTAATTCAAGCGTCTAAAGGAAGAAGTAAGAAAAAGTGTCCTGTTAGCTAAGGAATCATTTTTGAAACAACGACGTGGGTTGCAGTGCCAACTCATCCGCACATTCCTTTCAGAACTTTTTCTTTCTCTGTTTCTCATATATCAAAAAAGTAAGAGGCCGCTGCCATAAAACATTCACCTCAGCTCTGTGAACAAGACAGTCAGAATGACATCCATCGTGAATATTTTAAAGATTCTTTCTAGAATGCATTTATTTACAGGTCATTGTTTGCCTCCTACTGTAAGTAATTTCATATCCTGTTAGCCTTCCTAACTAGAGCTGCAAGTTTGGGGTAAGACTGATGAACTCTAATATATATACTCCTGCAAAAAGTGGGTAACAAAGCACATCACTAAAACTGGTTTATTTTATTTAAAAACAAATTGCTTTTCAAAGTTTAAATGTAAACTACTGACAGGAGATTCCCCAGAACAACAAATATGAGAACTTTAGGAAAAAAACAACCCTGAAAAATTTCCGAATGATGGAAAAGATGTTTATCTATCAAACATACTTTAAAAAGAAAATAACAAACTTTAAAAACTTTTTGGGGACTTTGTGTCTCTAAATACATCAATGTGATAATGTTTTTCTGTTCTTAAATGAATAAAGGGATCGTGAATCTGTGAGCTTTAAAAATATTAAGCAATGCAAACAGCATTACCCCATCTCGATATACCCTTTAAAAACAAAACCATCACTACCAATACTCCATTATTGTTTGCAAATGAAGAATTCTCATGACTTGAAAACTCCCAAATGTCCCCTCTTTAACAGGATCTGTTGTTTTTATTTGTTTGTTTGTTTTTTAGAAAGGAAAGTTGTTATATCTTCAGTCTCTTTTCACTTCATAAACTGCTTCATGGTTATCAACATCAATACCGTTCTTTTAAAAATTCAAAAATTAGTATTAAAACTAATACTAACAGCACCATTTATTGAAGGCATACTATATTGAGATTAGTGGTTTTATCAAGGACAAATTTTAAGTATAAAAGTCAGTATTCAGATGCAGGCCTGACTCTCAAATGTAATCTCAGCCTTTCTGAATGAATTAATAAATTCCCATGTTGATTTTCATTGGGAGAGAGAAAACAAGCATTATAACATTCTTTCTCACATGACAAATGTTGAAAAACTAGGAGACTCAAGTGGCTCTTGAACCCTACAGCAAGACAGTGGTAGAGTTGGAAAGGATTCCAGATGTCTTTACTAACCATTAAGCAACAGAATCCCAATTAAGTTTCCATTACTTTGAAAAGTCACTGTTGCCAAAGGTAGTGAGAACTAAAGAGAACTAAAATAAGACAGGAATCTTTGTTTCCAGTTATCTTTAAGCTTCTGCCAGTAACATGGTTTCAGTCGGAGAAAATACAAAATTGTAATCCTAATCAACATTCCAAATAACACTGAAAAATATTTCAACTGATGAAGATTAACAATGTTTTACTTTTCTGCCCATCCATACACAACAGGAAAAAACTTTCGTGTAAAAGCTTTTACTCTGTTACTAGTTACATTAAATGCAGTAATTGTAGGTTTTCTTCTCCTTTTCAAATGAAATTCTATGACTTTTTTGGCACTCAAAAAATACAATGAATAGCATTAATGAAGCTCTTAGAAATTTAGTCAGAACATGATATGATTTAAAGGGAAAAAAATTGATCTTGAGAAATCAAGTCACACCTGTGTGTCAGCAATAACTTCAGTTTCAGACCTCTGCAATTGTAGTTTTATTTTGACACTCTGATAAGTGAGCCTCGTTGACAAAAAAAAAAGAAAAAAAAGTATTAAACCAATGTGGGAAAGAAATTACCAACAGCAGGAACAACCAGTCTCTGTAAGGAAGTATTTTCCTTGTTATACATATATCCCTGTTATGGCCAATATACAAGAGCTTCTAGAATTTATTTTTTAAAAGCTTTTATAATACATCTTGATATCTGGTATTGAGATCCCCCCTACTTTGGTCTTTTTCAGGATTGCTGCAGCTATTCGAGGTCTTTTTTTATTCCAGATGAATTTTTGGAGAGTTCGTTCTAGCTCTCTGAAGTATGCCGTTGGTATTTTAATGGGAAGTGCGTTGAATTTATAGATTGCTTTGGGTAGTATGGACATTTTAATGATGTTGATTCTACCAATCCATGAACACGGTATGTTCTTCCATCTGTTTATGTCTTCCTCTATATCTTTTTTCAACGTCCTGTAGTTTTCTGAGTAGAGGTATTACAAAGCCACTGTTCTCAAAACTGCCTGGTACTGGCACAAGAATAGGCATATAGATCAATGGAATAGAATAGAGAGCCCAGAAATCGGCCCGAACCAATATGCTCAATTAATATTTGACAAAGGAGGCAAGAACATACAATGGAGCCAAGATAGTCTCTTCAATAAATGGTGCTGGGAAAATTGGACAGATATATGCAAGAAAATGAAACTAGACCACCAACTTACACCATACACAAAAATAAACTCAAAATGGATAAAGGACTTAAATGTACGACAGGAAACCATAAAAATTCTAGAAGAATCCAAAGGCAACAAAATCTCAGACATATGCCGAAGCAATTTCTTCACTGATACAGCTCCTAGGGCACTTGAAACGAAAGAGAAAATGAACAAATGGGACTACATCAAAATAAAAAGCTTCTGCACAGCAAAAGAAACCATGAACAAAACAACGAGAAAACCCACTGTGTGGGAAAACATATTTGCCAATCTCATATCTGATAAGGGCCTAATCTCCAAAATTTATAGGGAACTCATACAACTTAACAAAAGGAAGATAAACAATCCAATCAAAAAATGGGCAAAGGACCTAAATAGACACCTTTCAAAAGAGGACATTCAGAAAGCCAAGAGACATATGAAAACATGCTCAAAGTCACTAATCATCCGAGAGATGCAAATCAAACAACAATGAGGTACCATCTCACACCTGTCAGACTGGCTATCATCAACAAATCAACAAACGACAAGTGCTGGAGAGGATGTGGAGAAAAAGGAACACTTGTGCACTGCTGGTGGGAATGCAGACTGGTGCAGCCACTATGGAAGACAGTATGGAGTTTCCTTAAAAAACTGAAAATGGAACTCCCATTTGACCCTGTAATCCCACTTCTAGGAATATATCCCAAGAAACCAGAAACACCAATCAGAAAGGATATATGCACCCCTATGTTCATAGCAGCACAATTCACCATAGCTAAGATCTGGAAACAGCCTAAGTGCCCATCAGTAGATGAATGGATTAGAAAACTGTGGTACATCTACACGATGGAATACTATGCTGCTCTAAAAAGGAAGGAACTCTTACCATTTGCAACATCATGGATGGAACTGGAGAGCATTATGCTAAGTGAAATAAGCCAGTCAATGAAGGAAAAATACCACATGATCTCACTCATTCATGGATAATAGAGACCATTATAAACTTTTGAACAATAATAGATACAGAGGCAGAGCTGCCTCAAACAGATTGTCAAACTGCAGCAGGAAGGCCGGGGAGGGTTGTGGGGCAGGAGGTAGGGGGGTAAGAGATCAACTAAAGGACTTGTATGCATGCATAGAAGCATAACCAGTGGACATAAGACATTGGGGGATAGGGGAGGCTAGGGGACTGTCTAGGGCGGGGGGATAAAATGGACACATATGTAATACCCTTTGTAATACTTTAAGCAATAAAAAAAAATAATAAAAAATAAAAGCTTTTATACAGAGCTATGGTTCATAACTTTCTGCACAGGCCACTTCAGTCCCTATGGCCAAGTTACTCCAAGTACCCAAGCCACTTGCCAGCATACATGTGTGCATGTTAATGTACAGTCTTCAGATGACTAAAAAGTGTACCACTTTTAATGAAAGACCTGGACGCTTAGAATAAGTTATTTGAAATAAGATTATAGAAGGAAAAACAAAATAAGCTTTTTATTTATTTATTTGAGAGAGAGAAAGGAATGGGGGGAGAGGCAGAGAGAGAGGAGGGAAGAGAGAGAGAGGGAAAGAGAGAGAGAGGGAAAGAGAGAGAGAGAAAGAGAGAGAGAGAGAGAGAGAGAGAGAGAGAGAGAGAGAGAGAGAGAGAGAGAAAATCGACCTGTTATTCCACTTATTTATGCATTCACTGGTTGATCCTTGTATGTGCCCTGGCTGGAGATGGAATCTACAACCTTGGCCTATTGGAGCTACTAGGCCAGGGCCACATAAGAAGTCTTGGTGCTTCAAAAGACTAAGCCAATAATCACTTTAGAAGACCCTCCTGGTGATACCTTTATTTCAGGATCACATTTTGAAAAGAATTATTCTAGACTAGTGATGGCCTCAGAGGGTCCACGTACAGACTGGTAGAAAAGCTTCCAAAGAGAGCATTTTCCAAAGGATAATATATTTCAGACACAAAGCTAAATTGAAAAACACTAACACTAAAACTTTTTATAATAATAGCGAATCACTATATTATAACATTTTTGTTGGAACTACAAAGGGAAAGAGAGTCTTCATGGCCATCTTTCCTCAATGTTTCTCTAAGATCATTGGTCTACAGAGTAGTATTTCAGTCTTTAAATCAGTTTCTATCAGAAGATATGTTCTTGAGGCCATTGTAACCTGCCTTAGGAAAAGACAGGAGAGGGGAAAAGCCACTAAACATCAAAGGAAACCAGATGGGCTAGGGCCAGGCAGGGCTGCTGGGGGAGCCATGAAGACTACACAGAAGAGAGGGCAGAAGTTATGTTCTTGAAATCATTATGTCAGTACCACAGATAAGATAAATTGACCATCTGTTTCCTGAATGTTATGTAAAACCTTCCTTACACCACATGTCAAAATAAAATATTCCCTTTGGCTAACCTTTATGGGATTTCAATTCCACCTTCCCCAGTTGGCTGACATAAACATCTAAGGCACCCTGATGAGTTGAGGCTTTTAGACATCCAGAGGACGAATCTAGGAGGAAGGAAAAAAGCTATAAGCATAATCATTCTTATTCGAATAACTGAAATTATAAACTTGAAATAAAAAGCTCTGCTTCAGTATTAGGACAATGAGCTAAGAATCTTGTGCCGTTTTATAAATACTTCTTATAACTACGCCATCTTCTGCTTTAAAATGAAAGCAAAAACAGAAATCTAGAATTATACGCCCAGACAATAAAAAATCCCTATGTCTATAGTAACCTGCATAACTTATCTCTAAATATCTTAGGCACCCTGTCTAAACATGTTTACTGTAAAACCCAATGTGTAGGAAGGACAGTACACAAGCAATGAATCCTTGACAGCCAAGACCATTAAGCATCATTGATACATTTAGTTTATTATCAACTTTCAATCTTCACTAAAGAATTATATCTCGTGTACAGTCAACATATAAGTAGTGGCAAAGTTAACAAAAATTAAAACCTCATATTTTCTCCTCATCAAATTTGCTAGTACTAGAAGGTGCTGCTCAGAGTGAGAGATTACTCTATATAAGGTTTTGTTGCATTTCTGAGAGAGACAGAAATGGGGGCGGGGAATCACTTGAAGAGTGAGTGAAGCTCGTTTATATCTAAATATTTTTCAAGTTTCTGGAATTGAACAGATATCTTAAGTTAGGGAAAGAAAATCATAATTAAGGTGGTCCTAATCTGACACACAAATTTCTTTATGTCATCAATTTCCATTTTCAATCAGCCAACATATCAAGTTGATCATAAGAGCATGATGTTGAAGAGTCGCGGTGCTAAGTAGCTTCTCCTTCTTTCTCCTCTCCATGGCAACTGAACCTTTAATTGAATATTCTGACTGCCCTGCAAAGCCAAAGCATATTTTTTTTTAGAGAGGCCTCTTAAAAAACATATTTTATCTGGAGCTTTTATGGCTTCAAAGTGGAAACAAAGTAAGTAGGGAGTGTGATGAAACTAATGCCAAAGATGATACTATTATACTCCCTCTGTCCCATAATAATAGTAGCAGTTGATGAATGTAATTTGTCCCACAATAACAGTAGCAAAAGAAAATATAGAACGCAACATTTATTATCAAAAAACTAGATTAGGCCTCCTGGTGCTTACCACAGGCTGTGTTCTTACACTGACTGTACAGAAATAGGAGGCAGAGTAAACTTACCCCATATACACCTCAGCTCAGGCTCTTTGCCTGGTCTGTATTGTGAATGGGGAGACATTGAGAAAAAAAACAAAAAAAAACCCACAAAACTAGATTAAACAATAAATTAAAAATAGTACTCCTAATTTTTATTTTGAGTGTCCAGATAGTTTCTGGATTTTTCAATAATTTTGTTACTGTATTATAAACTTGTAGGTAGGATCCTTGGCTGCGAAGCTTTGCTTTCCCTATATGCGTGAGCTTAAAATCATTGCAGCCATCGTTCTTCATTGCTTCCAGCATAACTTGTTGAAGTGACAGAAACATATTATCCAGTATTTTGGGAGAAATATTATCAAAGACTAATATGGTGCCTCTTCTGCTAAGAGGAATATGTCTAAGTTTTTCAAGTTTTTCTCCATAATCTTTGCATTTACGTCCACAGTTTTGTTTTTTCAAAGAATCAACATTAGCATAAGATTCTCCTTGACAATTATTTTCAGAAGCACGCTTCCAAATTCTTGATGTGGTCATTCTGTTGCACTTAAATTGTTTTGCAGCTAATGTAATTGTGCCTTTCTGCAACTTTTCCTTTTTCTTTTGATGCATCAAGAACTGGACAATCGCAACTCGATCTTTGCTTGAAAACTCTCTTTTTTTCATCTTACTTTTATAATGGGTTGATATTCAACTGAAATAAAACAATTGATTTCGATCAGCAGATGAAATCAGAAAAATAGTTATAATTCGTAATAATTAGATTAACCGAAAACTTGAAAGATGTGTCAAAACAAATGACAGATGTCATGAAACATTTATTTTGATTGAAGGCTTCGCAATTTTGCACTACAACATAACTTACAGCTGTATTCACCAATAATTCCCCTTTAAATATTCACTTGCTACTATTATTATGGGATAGAGGGAGTACTTTTTATAAAATATGGAGAAAAAAACATCTGTATACTCATAAAGGAAGCAACATTTTTCTTTAAATTTTAGATGACTCAAAGACAACAACTGGGGAATAAACTGTTTAAAATCTGACTCTAAGGTAATTTATAATAATTTACCTCTAATCTATACTAGAAAATGGCCTTTATTAGAAACAATTTATTCAATTTTTAAAATTTAAGTATAGTTGGCATACAATATTATATTAGTTTCAGGTGTACAATATAGTGATTCAACATTTATTTAATTTTTTAAGTGTCTAAAGATATAAAATACTGGGAAATTAAGCCACTAGAGATAAATAGCATAGGATAGCTGGATAAAGATGAGTGTTTTTCTCCTCAGGTACCAACAGAAACTCCTTTTAAAGCCCCTTACTGCATCCTAAAAGAAGCCAAGTAAAAATATATAATGATAAAAAATGTGGACTACACAATGTGTGCATTATCCCAAGATGAGCAAAATAAGATATTTGAAACATTAGTTTGATTTCTTACTTTCTCTAGGGGGAAAATATACAAAACTTTTATGTGGTTTAGAAATAATACTTTTCATTTCTCTTCTCCTCCCCATGCAAATGGAAAATAAACACAGATAAATAATTATATTCTAAGCCACTAAGTCAGTGATAGCGAACCTTTTGAGCTCGGCGTGTCAGCATTTTGAAAAACCCTAACTTAACTCTGGTGCCGTGTCACAGATAGAAATTTTTTGGTATTTGCAACCATAGTAACACAAAGACTTATATTTTTGATATTTATTTAAATAGTTAAATGCCATTTAACAAAGAAAAATCAACAAAAAAAATGAGTTCGCGTGTCACCTCTGACGCGTGTCATAGGTTCGCCATCACTGCACTAAGTAATTACATTCTCATGTTATCAGTGTTGAGTTCTGATAATGTCTCATCCCTTGGAGGCTATCAAAAATTTTTTTAAATTCAATATATACTTTCCAAAGAGAAAGCAAAGGTCATATTGAAAAAGCTATATAGCAAAAACATACACTAACTTTTTGTTTTCTATAATACAAGTGATTGGAACTAAAAATTAACAATCAGGGGTCAAATTAAGGCTTCATTCACAGAATTTCTTATTTTTGGAGATTCATGTAATAGAGAAATGCTATAGCTCTTGGAGGAAACCTCAAGGGAAATAAAGCTTTAGGGTCAAAGAAGTAAACAGAAATTGTTAGTCCACAAAGTATTGGAATAAGTAGACTCTACAGTTTTGTATCATCACAATTTGAGACAAAGGTCTTATTGGTCTGAGAGACCACTGAATTTTCCTGAAAATTACACATACAACAGGAAAAAGCTGATGCCAACTACCAGCTAACACTGTATGCAGCCAAAGAAATAGAAATTTGTAATATGTGCCTTGCCAATAGCAGAGAATAACAAATAAGCTTAAAAGGCTAAAATTCCAAACTTTACTATTTTCCTTCAGATAAAGGAGAATTCTCTAAAAATTGGTCAAACATCTTCAGAAAGTTCTGAATTTTTATAATTCTACCTCCAGTTCAACATGTAAATACTAAGGAACAGCAATACCAAAGATATTTCTTAATTTTTGCAATGTGATTCTCATAATTCCAAACCTGCACTAATTACAAGAGTAAGGAACAAATTTTATATATAGGACTAAATAAATAAACCTTAATTTGACTCTAAATAACTTTTCATTGCAATCATTTATATTATAGTAAAGGATTTGCAAAGGCAGAATTTAAGGTCCCTTCAAGTAAAGTTTTCTAAATTAATGTCCTGCCCAGGTATTTTATATTTGGGGAGGAACACAGAGGAGGCTGGGTTATGAAAAACACACAAGGAAACCCCTCCCTCCAAATGAAGATGTTCTTTTTTTAAAGATAAAATTACCAGCAATGCCTTCCAAAAGAGGCCACATAGTACAGAGAAAGTAAAGTGAAGTGAGCAACTCTATTAATACCCCTATCCCACCATTACAAGATCTGCTCTCTCCTTTTTAAAATAGAACATGACCTGGCATTCCAGAAGAAAGTTATTATTTGTAAAATTATGAGTTCAGCCCTGGCCAGGTAGCTCAGTTGGTTCCTGATACACCAAGGTTTCGGGTTCAAGAAACAACCAATGAATTCGTAAGTAAGTGGAACAACAAATCAATGTTTCTCTCTCTTTCTCTAAAATCAATTTTAAAAAATGATTTCAAGGAAAATCAGGGTGTTGATAATAAAATCTTTTATAGTACTTCAGCTTCTGAGAGAACCCTGTATTAAGGAAATTAGGAAGAACAGGGTTTGGGGAGGTAGATTAGAATGCACATACAAAATCCAAATGACTGATGAGATTACTTAGGAGCTGATCAATTATATTATCTAAACTAGAAATAAAGAACCATTTCTTAATAAAGAAATCCTGGAGAGGACACAATCTATTTTCCTGAAATCAGACAGAATAATACCTAATTAATCTCGTCTATTAATATTCCAATTGGATAATATTATATAACCTTTTCTCAACACCCATTCCAATATTTTGAAGCTCCCACTATTCTAACATATTCCCCTCTCAGGTTCCCACAAATCACCTTTTGTTCCTTTGTAACTGTTTTGCTTCCACTCAACTCAATTCCTCAAAATACAAGCTACTCAGTAGACTATATTTTTTAATCCTCACAAGAGAATATGTTTTCATTTATTTTTAGAGAGAGAGGAAGGGAGGGATGGAGGGACGGATGGAGGGGAGGGGGTGAGAGATAGAGCGAGGAATATGGATTGGTTGTCTTCCATATACATGCCTACCGGGGACTGAACCTGTAACCTAGGTATGTTCCCTGACCAGGAATCAAACCTGCAACCCCTTTGGTGTATGGGATGACACTCCAACCAACTCAGCTACCCAGCCAGAGCCTCAGTAGGCTTTAATTAGGTTGTCATGCGTTATAAAAGCTGCCTTCAACTTTCTGAAGTAAATCTTTCAAGAAAAATACAAATCAACCAATCAAGGAATTTCAAATAAACATTATCCACTTGTCACCTTTGGTATTAAGACATAAAACCCAAAATTTCTCCAGAATCATACCAACAATGGGTTTTAGGCTCTAAAGCAGGGCGACCAAACCAAAGCCACCTCTCGTTTTGATTAACAGAGTTTTATTGAAACACAAACACATCCATTTACTCGTGTACTATCAATGACTGCTTTTGTTAAAATGACAAGAGTTTTATAGTGCAGACAGGCTATGTGGCCAGAAAGCCAAAAATATTTACTATGTGGTCCTTACACACAAAGTCTGCCAATATCTAGAGCAAACCATTTTGTTTAGAGGGAATGAGTTTTTCTGCAAAAAAAAAAAAACAAAAAAACCCCACAAAATATAAAATTTGATTCTATTTAAGACAAAGAGATTTACCAATTTACAACCAGCTCTTTTCTTAAGGGCCAAGTGATATACACTTAGTTATAAAATTATTGCTTATAGAAATGAAAAAAACTTGTTGTCTCAAGGCAGTTCTAACTTCTCATTGTCTCTGATTGCTTACCATTAAAAAAATACAGGAAAGGCACAGACTGAGAGAAAATACAGGGAAACAATGTCTGACAAAGGATTTGTTCCCATGATATATAAAGAACTCCTACAGCTCCAAAATAAAGACAAATAAATGGGCAAAAGATATAAACAAAATTTCACAAAGGAAGGTATACTAATGAATAATAAGCACATGAAAAAGAACTGACCACCATCAGTTCGTATCTTTGCTCCACAAAGATCCCAGTTTCCCATCCCAAACCCCCTACCCTCTAGGGCAGTGGTTCTCAACCTTCTGGCCCTTTAAATACAGTTCCTCATGTTGTGACCCAAGCATAAAATTATTTTCATTGCTACTTCATAACTGTAATGTTGCTACTGTTATGAATCGTAATGTAAATATCTGATATGCAGGATGGTCTTAGGCGACCCCTATGAAAGGGTCGTTCAACCACCAAAGGGGTTGTGACCCACAGGTTGAGAACCGCTGCTCTAGGGACTAAAAAACAACCACCACTCAGAGAGCTCAGAGTGTGCCTTCACCTTATAGGCAAGCAGATGCTACTTGGGATAGAGAAAGTTTTATATAAACTATCTTGACATCTGAACTTTTTCCTTCAGCAGGCACAGCATCACACGCAGTGATTTAGTGCAGCCGTGGGCAAACTATGGCCCGCGAGCCGCGGCCCCTTTGAAATGAATAAAACTAAAAAAAAAAAAAAAGACCGTACCCTTTTATGTAATGACGTCTACTTTGAATTTATATTAGTTCACACAAACACTCCATCCATGCTTTTGTTCCGGCCCTCCGGTCCAGTTTAAGAACCCATTGTGGCCCTCGAGTCAAAAAGTTTGCCCACCCCTGATTTAGTGATTTGGTCTAACGTACCATTAACTACTATTAGTTCTGGCCTAGGGTTAGGACAATAACAATAATAAAAATGACTATTATTTATTAAACTAGAGGCCCGAGGCACGAAATTCGTGCAAGGGGCTCGGCCCTCGCAGCCCCGGCTTCATCCAGAAGGTTGTTCAGCTGTCTGGTCTAATTAGCATATTATGCTTTTATTATTATAGATTTTTACCATGTCAGACACTGTGTTAAACTACTATATATATATATATATATACACACACACATACACATACACACACACACATACATACACACAAATCGTGTTTAATCCTTACAACAACCCTATATAATAGGTCCTTACAATTATTTCTACTTATTCAGATGTGGAAACTGAGGCACAGAGAGTTTAGGTAATTTGCCCATGTATAGAAAGCAGTGAAATCAGAATTCTAACCCTTTTGGTGCCAAACCAATAATTATACAATATTTATAGGATAATAAATTTTGTAATTATAAATTTAAATTACAATAAATTTCTGGAAATAATTTCACGTATTCATACATTGGGTCTGTCTATATTTAACTTGCACACCAGGATCCTATCAAGTCATTAGCTAAACTGTAGACTTTATTTACTCTAACAAAATACCACAAATATAGTCATTTTAAAAAGCATGCAAAATTTACCAATTAGCATCTTAGCACATACCTACTGTGATGTTACCCATCTTGCTTTGTAATGTTATATTACCTGTAAAAGAGAGAAAAAGAAAGACAATTTCATATATTAGGAATAATCTAGAAAGGAACTGTGTATACTAAAACACGGCTGGATATCCACAATGTTATTTAATAACAGTTTTTGTTGTTGGCAATTTTTCTCAGTATCACACAACAATCAGAGATTTAGCTGCAACTCTGAAATAAAAAGTTTTAGGCATCTATACACACTCTTCCTCCACTCCATTTTAAGCTTTTTAGCATAACTACAAAATATACCACCATACATTCTGGTAAACATGAAAGAAACATCATATTCCTAAAATCCACAAATGAAAAAATTACTTAATTAGATGAAAGAAGGTGAGGGAATTAGCCAAAGAATATACATGCATAACCTACAGACACAGGAGACAGTTTGGTGTTGGATAGAGGGAAGGGGAGGAGGGCAGAGAGAGAAAAATGGGGATATCAATAATAATGTAAACAATAAAAAAAGAAAATATTATTTAAATACACTGACTATGCATTTTCAACCTAAACATCACTGTATTTATCAGATTACACAAAGTCAGGTTTTGAACCAAATAATGCTAAAATAATCTATGAGAAAAAAAATAACAATTATTTTTCAGGCCAATATGTCATTCTTATATGTTAAAGTGGTTTCTGTGCCAAGAGTTAAGGAGGTTTGGTACAGGAATAATGAATCCATTGAACTATGACTAACAAAGAAAAAAGCTTCAAAGGTTTCCATCTTTAAATGAAAACATATTTTCCAGGTCAGGTATAGGATATTGCAACTATTCTTCCCAGTCCCCCTCCTCCAATACCAAAAATAGTAGGATATTTCTTCATGTATTATAATTACTCTGGAGCCATACAATCCATATTTACTATGCTAAGGTATAAGCAATACCATCTCTTCTATCATAATTCAAAAACTACACTTAAAAGTAAAAGAATATTATTACCTTAAAATTAATCTAGGGTAAGTAAACTCATTTATTTCATTTCAAAGGCACATAATTTATTTTGCCAATAGTCAGATATGCTTTGATAACAAAAATCTCTTAAAAGTCTTATATTCCATCATACTTCATGGGAGTATATGAACAACAGTTACATTTGTGTGGGAACAAAACGTGGTTTGTATGAAGTTAAGCTCATAAAATTGTTTTCAAGTCTCAGTAGGTTATAAGGTTGTAAAGAAACTGTTAAATGTGTTATGTAAATATTATTTCACTGGTGTGTTCTAGACACTTTTCTAATTTCAAATCCAAGAAATGTAGATTCGCCATCACATGCAAATAGTGGCCAAAGATCATACAGCTGCTTAGATGGCTTACAATAATCCCTGCCTCTCAAGTCCTTGTATAATTTCCTCCCCTCATGTGTAAGCTGGACCTAATGATTTGTTATTGACAAAGAAAATAGGGCAAAAATGATGGGATGTTAATTCCAAGATTAGGTTACAAAAAGATTCTCGTTTCTGTCTTGCTAGCCATCTTTTGCTGTGATGGAAGCCAGCTAGACATGGTGTCAACTGCCCTATGAAAGAGGCTCACAAGCAAAGAATTCAAAGATGCCTCCCTCTAACACAAGCATGTCAAATTCACAGCTGAGGGGCCACATGCCTTGTTTAAATAAATGAAGCCTGCGGCCTGCAGGCCGTGAGTTTGACATGCTTGATCTAACAGGATCTGAACTGAATCCTGCCAACAACCACACCTAGTGAGCTGGGAAGTAGATTCTCCCCTAGTGAACCTTCAAATGAGCCCACAATTACAACCCCCTGAGGGATCTTGAGGCAGAGGGCTCAGTTAAGCCGTATACAGACTGTAAAGACAATAAATGTTGCTTTCAGTTGCTAAGTTTTGGGGTAATTTGGAACAATGGAAGAGGTAACTAGAACAAATTTTGAAAGCTAAAAGTGGGATGCTGCCCTAATAAATACCTAACAATGTGGGAGTAGCTTTAGAACTTGGCATTGGGTAGAGGTTGGAAGGATTTTGAGGAGCATGTTAGAGAAGGCCTAAATTGCCTTGAACAGACTGTTAGTATGCTTCCCATGAGGGCTCAAAGGGAAGTGAGGAAAAATGTTTTTGGAAACTGGAGGAAGGAGGACCTTTGTTAAGTAGTAGTAGAAACTTAGCAACACTATCACCTTCAGTAATATGGAATATAGGAAATATACTTAATAATATGAATGACCTAGCTGAGATTCTAAGCAAAGGCAGTGTCGTAGGCGATACCATTTTTTTTTCTTCTTGCTCACAGTAAAATGCAAGAGAAGAGAGATAAACTAAAGAACTGTTAAAACAAACAAACAAAAAAGAACCAGGACATGACTGGTTTTGAAAATTCTCAGTCTCTTAAGATAGCAAAAGATGCTAAAGTGAAGAATGGCTTCCAGGCCACTGACACACATGGCCTAAAAATATAGCCAAGGGGGTAACTGTAAAACCTTCTGTTAAGACCCCAGAAAGATGGAGGGTGGTACTTCACAGTATGAATGTTACACAAAAAGTCCTTTAAAAAGACTTAAAAGATCACAGATGCTCTCAAACAAACAACAGGCCCTCTAGAAAGCTGGAGGGCATTGTACCTCAATACCTCTGCAGAAGCCCATATTTCAAAGATTCTTGGATATGGCTTTTATCTAGTGGAATAAACCCCAATGCGATTCACAGGAAGCTGACAAAATTTTTGACAGAAATACGTCAGCAAACACACTGCAAAGTGGACTAACAGGAACAGCGACAGTAAAAAATGAAGAGCCCACTGGACCCACAAAATTCTACTGGCAGGAAGCAGTCTAAGAAAACTACTCAGCTCCAAACATGTGCCACATAACATAAAAAAGGACTCAGAGGCAGGAACCCAGAGCTCAGACAGCAAAGCCTGGAGCCCTAAAGAAGTATTCCCAGAACTTGAGGTTTAATCAAAACCTCCAATGTTTGCCCATTCACATTTCAAAATCACTACAGACCCATGACTCCTTTGTGCTTCTCATTTCCCCCTTTGAACAGGAAAGTCTAGAGCAGCGGTTCTCAACCTGTGGGTCGCGACCCCTTTGGCGGTCGAACGACCCTTTCACAGGGGTCTCCTAAGACCATCCTGCATATCAGATATTTAAATTACGATTCATAACAGTAGCAACATTACAGTTATGAAGTAGCAACGAAAATAATTTTATGGTTGGGGTCACAACAGGAGGAACTGTAAGGTTGAGAACCACTGGTCTAGAGCAATTTATCCTATTCCTATTTTATCATTATATGTTGGGTGTGTAGGTGATGTGTGTGTGGGTTGAGGTGTGAAGAGTAGGCAATTTGTTTCTTTAGTTTATAGGTCTTCAGATTCAGAGGCATACCTTGGAGATATTGCATGTTTGGTTCCAAAACACCACAATAAAGCAAATATTGCAATAAAGTGAGTTGCAATCATTTTGCTGGTGGAGGGTTTGACCTTCAATTTAAAAAACATGCAACATCTATGAAGCACAATAAAGCAAAGCACAATAAAACAAGGTATTCCTGTACTGGAGGATTTGTACTTACTAGTAAGTAACTATACCTGCGGAGCCTCATCTACATTGGATCTGATTTTGATGCAGACATTCTGGACTCTGAGGTGATGTATAATGGGATGTGACTTTTGGGATCCTTGGAAGGAAGGGAGTGTATTTTGCACAGGGGAAGGACATGAATCACCGAGGATGGAGGTAAGATTTTAGCCATCCAAAACCTTATAGGATATATGGGGGGGATGCACACATTAAAAGTTAAAAATTAGTATTTATTAATAATTACAAATTAACCTCATAAATGAACAGTATGAATTAGGTGCCAGAGCCATTCAGAGAAAAGAGACTAAAATGACCTAACATACACAGGGACAATAGTCATATTGGAGATTATCACCAGAGTTGGGATTTGAAAAGGATAAAATTTGAATATGCTGAAGGGGAAGGATTCTCTGGGAAAAAGAATTACATAAGCAAAGATAAAAAGGCAAAACTATACATGTTATGTTTAAATCATGCAGATCAGTTAGGCTGGAGCAATTAGGCAAGTCTATGAGGACAGGGATCACATCTTATTTAGCATTATATTTCGAGAGCTTAGCACAGTGCCCAGTATGTACACAGTAAACACGATTATTTTTTTGAACTAATGTTCAAATTTAGTTTGGGAAAAGTAAAGATCAATCTGCAGCAGAATCATGGAATGCTAGTCTACTGACTTTATCCTACACTGAAGGAGATGGCAAAGAATTTCGAAATGGCAACCAACAGATGAAAACTATACTTTGGACAATTAACCTACTGTGAGACACTGGATGTTTCCACTCAGAATTCTCTTTACTGCTTACAACTCCTGAACACTTCAATAATAAGATGAAGCAGACACCTAATATTTGTGATTTTAAGTAAGTATTAGGAAAGAACAATGACATAGTTTTATAGTTAGTCATTTAGTTAGTAAGTCCAGTCACATACTCAACAAGGCAAAGGAGCTTTACTATCTTCAAAGAATGCAGTAAAAACTCACTATTTTTAATGAAAATACAGTCTTTCTTAAAGAGTGTATCATTAGTACTCATGATGAAAGTAAAGCAAAATCAAGAAAATAATGGTTCTCAGAACCATAACACAGTATATGACAGGAGTCATATACTAGGCCTGGTTTCTGGGACTTCTCACATGATCCTCTATGATCTCTCTTCCTTTCAAGGAAGACTGGAAGTCGCACACTGAAGATGGCAGCATCACCTTTATAGAAGGAGCAAGTCCCTCCACGCAGCTGAGCTGAGTCCAAACAGGGCATGGACTAGCAACATTTAGTATCACATGTCTAAATCTTGAAAAAAATTTATGCGGTCTATACCACAAAGGAAGTGTAATTCCTTTCTAGTATTTCCTATAAAAGTGTTTTAAGTCCAGATTCAATATTAACATAACATTATCATAGGTCAAAATGATAAACCAACATTTTATAATGGACTTAATACTAAAATTTAAATGAA